AATTTTAAACTGAAGAAGCTGAAACCAAATTTCGGCCTCCCATTTCTCTTAAGCCACAACTGCATATTTTTGTCAAAGCCTGGCCAATGTCTTCAAACATAAGGAATATTTTGGCTGTGATTAAAGATGCAAGCACAACGAGAGAGCCGTTGCTGGCTGATCTGGTTTGGGGGGATGCTTCTGCCTTTGTATAGTTCTGTGTAAATCAGGGGTCCCCAACACCCACCCACCCCCGGGCTGCAGCCCACTCAAAACTGGGCTGCGCAAACATCGGGCATGTGCTGCTACTCACACAGATGGAGCTTTGCAGGCACAAATGCCTGTCACTTGTGCAAATGGAGCAGCACACGCCTGCTGCTCACATACAACCGTCTCCTCTCCTAGCCACCCCCACCGGTCCACAAAGCTGGAAAGGTTGGGGACCACTGGTGTAAAATGTTACACAATGTATGAATTCCAGATTTGCTCCTTAGCAAATGCTTGAGCCGGTCACATCCTCAAAGCCCAACTCGCCATTACAGGGTCGGTGAACAGAAAAAAATTGGGTAAAACTTAGAGGAGGAAAGGGAGTTGGAGATGTTTGCCACCTAGAAGGTGGGATTTAAAAAAATAAAAATCTAGCCCAGCAGAAGTCAAAATTAGGGGTGAAATACAATGAGACCTTAATGGGAGAACATGGTTTTTCATTTGTCCTTGGAATTCAGGGGCTGTTCATTCTAACAGAGTACATGATGTGGCTTTAGCTTCTCACTGAAGTTTGACACTCTTGTCCTTCATCCTTCCCAGGTCAGTAAAACGAAAACCCAGATTGTTGGGTGGACTATGCTGACTCTAAAGTAGTTAGAGAAGGCTGTAAAGCACTTTGGAGTCGTACATAAGTCGAAGTTCTAATGACATACTGCGGTGCTTTGCATTTCCAGTGCTTCCGCATAAATATGACCTGTAATGCGATACGCTCTCCACACGCAAGCTCTTAAGAGACTCCATAAGGGGAACCCCATTAAACAAGTAAAAATCATCATGCTTGTTCATTTGCTCATTGGGGAAAAGGATCCAAGGGTATAATTTGCAGGTGGCAAAAGTACGTCAACCTTTGCTCTCAGTAACTGGTGTGCCCCCCCCCCCCCAGCAATCAGTGCCATCAATCATTTCCAACAACTTAAGCCAGTCCTGCATGTTGGCTTGTAGGGATTTTAGCCCATTCCGCTCTATTCAGCTTGAACGTTGGGAGCTTCCGTGCCCGAGTTGCCCACTTCAGTTTGTTCCACAGCATTTCTGTAGGGTTTAAGGTCGGGGAGGTTCAGGTACAAAGAGTCCTTCCGTTCAGTGACCGAAGTTAATGGCACTGATTAAAAGTGACTTACGACCATTTCTCACACCCAGCCCGACTGTTGCAGCATCTCCACGGTTATGCCATCGAAAGGGGGGGGCCTGGCAACCAGCATGCATTTACGGCGGTTGCAGTGGGGTCAACTTTTATGACCCGATGAGCAAAGTCGATAGGAGAGCCTGATCCCCTTAAAAACCGTGTGGCTGATTTGACAGGTATGCCAGCCAGGCAAACCTCACAATTGTCTTGCTTAGCGACAGAAAAGTTGGGGCTGAATTACGGTCGTAAGTCCAGGTCTACCTGTAGTAGCTTTCCTACTCTGAAGTTCTGGGACAGGAACCTTTGCTGCTGCTGCTGCTTCACTTGCACCAATGGAGCTTCACATGCGTGTGTGAGTGCCCGCTGCTGGTGCAAATGGAACTGTGCACGTGCCCCTTGCCTGCTGCTTGCCTGGAACCATTTCCCCGCTCCCACTATCACCACCACCACCAGTCCACAAAGGCTGGAAAGGCCACCGGTCTATGGCTTTCGTTCAGGGCTCTCTGAAGCTGCAATACCATTTTATTGAGAAAGGCGAGATTGGAGACTGGAGGAAAATTGTCCCAAACGGTTGGCTCCAGTGCTTCTCTTTCGCCCCCCCCCCCCCCCAAAAAAAACTGTCCAGGTTAACAATCACAAAGACCCTGGTTTTTATTTTCCTGAAGTCACAGAAACAAAATACTTTTCCAAGGTAGTGAGATAAGACATCAGGACATCATCAAAGCAATTTTATGCTTGGAATATTCTTCACAGTAGGTCATTTTAAACCCAGAATTGCTGACTATCTAAATAAGGACATTTTACTCTTCTTATCGCAATGGTGCTTAAGCCTTGACCTGTGCTCAGATCCATGGTTTGGGCAGGTCACAAAACCTGGGCACACCGATACAGAGCTGTCAGTTATTCGCAGCAATGAGAACAATGGAAGTTCACAAAAAGTTTTTTTTTTTTTAAATCTTTTCCCAAAAAGGAAGCAAAAGTTTAAATGTAAATTAAGAAATAATTGAAATATCAAAGGGATATAAATCCTGATAGATTGCAGGAAAAAAAATGAAACTCCCTTTTTCCAGAAACCCTGATGATTAAACATTTTGATATTTCTGATTGGAGGGTCAGCATAATTAGTCCGAAGTGGTAGTTGTCTAATTTAGACAAAAAAACCCTGACGTGATTTGGATGTCAGAGTCTGCCAATTGCAGTAACAGCATGGAGGGAAGGAATGCTGGAGAAAGACAAATAGTGCTGAATATTGTGTTGGCTGTGCCCGAGGCAAAGCTGTGGGGTGTGTGTGTGTGTGTGTGTGTATTGGGGGTTGACGAAGACAAGAGGGGAAGGGACATAACTATGCTGTAAATCTGAAAAGCAAATATTGCAGACGGAATAAATCATTCTGACCTTCTGGTTTTTTGGAAATCCTTAGCAGGGACAAACTATTGAACAGCTTTTCTCTGTTTCTGCAAAAGATACCATAAGTCCTGATAGATTGCAGAAAAAAACCCCCCAGGATTTCAACATCGTCTCCATCATCTTGGGTTAGGAAAGAAGTTTCCAGTTTGCCAGCAGTTCAGGATGACCCTCTGCTGCGACTCCTGAATTGGCTGTTAAGGTGCGCCCAGCTTTGGCAAGTGAGAAATGCTGGCGAGCCAGCAACTCTGCCAGGGGCGATGCCAAGGAATCAGGAGCGGTGGACAAACCTCTTGATGCTTAAACGTCGGATCTAAAAGGATCAATTGGTCTCGCGCCTCTGACCTGGAATGGGATGTTCTTTTCCATCTATTCCCCAAACGGGACGTTCCCTCCTCCCCTCGTGCCCAGGTTCTGCCCATCTGCTGCCCCCTCTCCTGCTTTTGGGCTAGGAATACTGATTAGCCAATAGGTTTGGAAGAGTTCACAGTGGAAAGGAAAGCAGCCCATCAAAGAACACGGTTTGGCTGCCAAGACTTACTCGGAAAGGAAGGGACCTGAACGGATCCCTGACTAGGGGGAAAATGTAGTTAACTGAAAGTTTACTTTCACTGTTTTCATGTATTTTAAATACACCATATATACATCATATAAAGGTACAGGTTCCTCTCCTTGTAGTCGTTTCCGGCTCCAGGGGGGCAGTGTTCACCTCCGTCGCAAAGCCAAAGAAGAGCCCCCGCTGTCCGAAGACGTCTCCGTGGTTATGTGGCCGGCAGGACTAAATGCCTTTGTGGTCCCTATTTTTCTACCTGCATTTTTTTACGTACGTTTGAACTGCTCAGTTGGCAGAAGCTGCTGGGACAAGGAACAGGAACTCACTCCATGACGTGGCGCTAAGGATTCAAACCCCCAGACTGCCAACCTTTCTAACAGATAACAGATAATCAGAGTTGGAAGGGACCTTTTGGTCATCTAGTCCAACCCCCCGTCCAGGTGGGAGACCCTACACCATTTCTGACAAATGGCAGTCCAATCTCTTCTTGAAAACTTCCTGACTGGCAAGCTCAGCGTCTTAGCCACTGAGCCACCGCGTCCCTTATATAGCATATAGAATATATTTAAGATAGAAGATGTTCTATATTTAAAATAGTTTTGAATATTTATACATTCTAAATATTACGATGCAAATCAATATGAATTTCTGCAAAATGCTATTCCTGTAGGGTGTGAAGGAACTTGGCTTTTGTGCAGTTGCTGGATAGAATAGAATAACAGAATTGGAAGGGACCTTGGAGGTCTTCTAGTCCAACCCCCTGCCTGGGCAGGAAGCCCTACACCACTTCAGAGTTGCTGCTTTTTGGCACCTTTGAACAGCCCCCCCGGGGCAAAACCTCTCCATCCTTCACACCCCAGCATGATCATTCTGATGCCACCTGACACCGGCAAGATAGCCAAGGAGAAAAACCGTGTGCCGAGGGATCCCTCTGCAGGTGGAAGAGAGCTTGTTCCATTGGAAGCGGTCTCTGCCAGCAGTGCAACCCTCCAACCCTTGGTTTAAAGCCAGGAAGGAGAAACTTCCAAGTAACAAACTGGTAATATAGGCAACATTTACGCCACAAGAATAGCAAAGTTTAAATTGAAGCTACAAATTGAAGTTTTTGAATGTATTTTGTCTTTATACAAATTTAAACTGCTTAAAAAAAATTTTTGTTTATGATTTCTGATAGCAGATCAAGATGATAAAGCATCTTTAAATGATTTTCTCTCATGTCCAGAATAGATGCAATAGATGCTCTTCTATTTAAATCGATTTATTTGGCGAAGTGAGATTAGACTCACAAGGAATTAATTAGGTCTCCTGTGCAGAAGCAGCTCAGGGTCCGGGCAAAGCAAGAGAATAATGGTAACCATCATGCTACCAATAAAACAGGGGAGTACTACAAGCACAGGTAGTTCTCCACTTACAACTGGTCGCTTAGTGACGGTTCCCTAACCTCCCTAAGGAGGTTGACTGCCTCCCTCGACTTCGGCCGGCAACCCCGGAGGAGCCGCCGTCGAGGCGCGGCTGGAGCGCCGCCCGGAGCTCGGCCGGGGCGTCGGGGCGGCGACTGGCGGGAAGCCTGGGCGGCCGGGCGGGCCGGGGAGGGGCGGCGGGGCTGGGCAGGGCCGGGAACCTCTCCCCGGGCCGGGGGGACGCAGCGAGCAGCCGCAGCCCGGCCTTCTCCTCCTGGCCGCCGCCGAGATGGGCAGCGTCCCCCTCGAGGTCCCCGTGGCCGCCGCCGCCCCCGAGCCCCGCGGGGCCGTCAAGCGGGACTACCACCGCCGGTAAGGGCGCCGGACGCTCCGTCGGGGCGGAGGAGGGGGGAGGCCGCCCTCGCTCCCTCCGTAGCCGGCGTCGAGCCGAAGCGGCTCCGCCTCAGAAGCCCGGGAGAGCCGGGGGTCCCGCGGGGGTCCCTGGGCCGGAGGAGGGAGGGAGGGAGGGAGGGAGGCAGGACGCGGCCTTAGACGGGGAGGGCGAGGGGCGTCGGGCGGCTTCCCATGCAGCCTCGGCCGCCTTCGCTTCCGAAGCCCGCGGCGCCAGGCCCCGGGGGGGGGGGGGGGGGGGGCTGGCTGGAAAAGCGGCTGGTGGGCGCCTTTCCTCCGGCGCCCCCGCCAGCTGCGACCCCAGGCCCGACGGGGCGCCGGTTGGGCGTCCCAGGCCTCCCGAGGAAAAAGGGCCGCGCTGCGGAGAAGGCGAGGCCTCACCCGCGCCGGGAGGCAGAGACCCCCGGAGCCTCCGTGGCCGCTTATCCATTGGCCCCCCTGAACATGGACGTCACCCGGGGGCAAGCCTGAGGGGCGATGGGGCCCCACGAGGCCTTTCCTTGCTCAGCAATAAATAAGGTGGTGGGTCCCTTATGGGGGTAGGATCCCTGGAGCTGCCTCAGAAGAGCTCAGACGATGGGGTAGGGGGCTGGACTAGAAGACCTCCAAGGACCCTCCCGCCTCTGTTGTTCTACCTTCTGTACATAAACATGGGAATAAGGTCTGTTTCTAAACTCCATTCTTACATCTTGGCTCTCTTTTTTTAATGTAAGTTTTTTTTTATTTTGTATTTACAAAAAAAACCCTCTTTCATTTAAACAGTGTGTCGACTGGGTACATATATCTTTTTTTATTATTATTTGAGTTTTCACAAAGAGAAAAAAATACAAATAAAACATCTTTTTTGAAAGTAGCGTAATCCCGGGTTACATTTCTTCGTACAGACACAAACTCAGGTTCATGCTCATTTTTATATTCTATTCCATATCTTATTGCTATTTTACATTTTCTGCATAGCTTCTCCCCTCTTTTAATTTTCTCAATTTTATTTTAATTATCTCAATTCAAATCATTGTATTTATATTTTTTGTCTGTCCTGTTTCAATTATCTATTATTTTTTCTCATTAAACAAAATTTCTCCTGTAGTTACTGATTGGAGTATGACGCCTTTATATCTTTTCCCTAAAGTTGTAACATTCAATATAATACATAACTTCCATTCGGATTCTGCTTGGTACATTCTTAAAATACACACTGTATTCTTAAAAAAAAATTATAAATGTATATAATTAAAACAACATTCCATTCCAATTCAATTCTATCATTAATATTCATTAAAGTCTTAACATCTTTAACATTACTTTTCAATTAAATATCATACTTCTATGGGAACAATTATAAGCTTTCCATAGTTAATTCTCCCCCCTTCACTTATATTTTATAAAACATTAACTAATTAAAATGTTCCCGTTCCTTCCTAATTCAATTTTCTCATTTATTTTATTTCACTTATTTTATTCACAAACATTTCACTAAATTACACTAACTATTTTATCCCTCATTTTAATCATACGTTGTTTCCAATTTTCTAAAGTTATTTCTATTACTAATATAACATTGTATATCGGCATTGTATATCTTAGGTACCTTTACAGAATCCCTTTTTCGGTTAGATTTTCACCCATTATCTCTAAATAGGTCCTGTTTCTCTATATCTTGCTCCGGTCCTTTGTAACTTCTTTTCCTTTCCTTCTTCCCTTTCTTCTTCTCTCTCCCCTTTTTACCTCCTTGTCTCTCTACCTCTATTTCTCTCTTCTGTATTCCCCTTTTCTGTTGCTTTCCAGTATTATACTTATTTTTCGAATTATTTTTCTTTTCTTTGGTTGTTTTTTTAAGTCTTAAATTCTCCATTCTCTTTCCCCCCTTTCCTTTTTCTTCCCCACATAAAATTGCTTGTTCATTAAAGATGGCTTCTTCTTTGTCCCAGTCTTCTTGTTTTGCAGTCGTTTCTTGTTGTTTCTCATAGTTCCAAATCTCCATTTCTAAGAATTGAAAAACGAAGCCAAAAGAACCCTTCCCTTCTTGTGCATCTTCTTTGTACTTTTTAAGTTCCATTTTCAATTCATTCAGAAGTGGTGCCATTATATAAATTTTTAAACAACCACCCGGTTGATTTTAGTCATTCAAATATAATAACCAAGAATCGCACGCACACACACACACACACCCCTTTGTGGCATTGTTTTCTTTGCAGATCAGACCTTGACCCACGGAGGGAAGGCTACTACACTCCAATAGAGGAAGCGGGTGGGGTAATAGTAGCAACCCGGGTGAGCAAAGGAAAGGCTGGCAGGCAGTTTGCAACTATTGACACATCGCACGAAGCGACGTCCTGTCCCGAAGGGATTGCAGAGCGTGATGAAATCCTTGTGACGCACAAGCTGAAGTCAAGGACCTGCCCAGGTCTCTCTGGCAGGTGAACAGACTTGGCTGGGAAGAGGTCAGGAGGATCCACCAGCAGAGGAGGAAGCGGTGGCTGTCCCAATGGCGGCCGGGAAAGGTCCTCCGAGCAGTTGGAACTTCTCCATGAGGAAATCTCTCTTCAGACAGGCCCTGGCGGTTGAACAGGATCAGCGAGCAGATGGAGTCCAAAGTGACCCCTGGCAGGCTAGAAGTAGGGGTCTCCAACCTTGGCCACTTTAAGACTCGCGGACTTCAACTCCCAGAGTTCCTCAGCCAACCTTGGCCACTTTAAGACTTGCGGACTTCAACTCCCAGAGTTCCTCAGCCAACCTTGCGCTAGAGAATGGCTCCAGACCAGGAAATGTTCTTACAGGGCGGTAATGACGAATGATTGGCTGCCCAGGAATCCGGAGCAAGATTAGGGGTTGCTGAGGCCATGCCATGGCAAGCACCCCGTTCCTTCAAGTCAGAGTCTGCCTTCTTGCCAGGGCGGTGCAGTTGGCAGAGCTCTCTAGCTGGCGACCTGAAGCCCTGGTACAACCACACCAAGAGTGGCGCAAGGGCCCTCGGAAGGAAACGCGCAGGCTTGAGAGAAAAAGCAGCCGGTGGGGTTGCGCAAGGAAAAGCATGACGCCCACTTCTGGAAGCTTCCACACCAATCTCTGGTAGCTACCAAAGAACTTCCTACTAGTGGCTTGGGTAGTTCTGAGGCTCTCTTGGGAGTCGGTTTGAGTTGTCTTCTAGGCTGTGTCAACTCATAAAATATTCCTATGGTCGTGTTAGAGTTGCCAACAGAAAGGGAGGGGGGGAAAGGCGTTGGAAAGAGCAGTGCGGCAGCTTGGAAATTGAAAGTGCATTCCATAAATGTTTTCAAAGATAATAACTAGGCGACTGAAGTGTCTGCCCTGCAAAATTCTAACTGGAGAGCATGATTGATGACTTTTGGCTATGGATGTGTCCCATTGGAGAATATGAATCTCTCTCTCTCTCTCTCACTCACTCACTCACTCACTCACTCACTCTCTCCCTCTCTCTCTCTCTCTCTCTCTCTCTCTCTCACTCACTCACTCACTCTCCTTGAAGAGGGATTTCTGGAACATGCAGGAGAATTACATTGTTCCTCTTAAAAAAAAAGGAGACCCAGAGGAAGGTTAAGGGGTTTGGGCAAATATAGATGAAATCTCGGGTCTGGCAGGAGGGAGGTTGGCATTCAACCATTTCTGAGTGTCCTCGGGGGAATATTTGTGTTGCCCATTTCATTTGAAAGGTTCTGCTGGACCTCTTTCTAGGTGGCCTTGATTTTTCCAAGCCAAGTCTTCTCAGGCCGATATAGCTGGTCCTCCTCAAGAGTTGTGAGGCTTTGGTTATAGCCAGCCCAGCCCGTGGGCGTCTCATCCCCTTCCTATCCCGTCTCCTTCCCAGGATCTTTGTGAACCGGAGTTTGGCGCTGGAGAAGATCAAATGCTTCGGTTTTGATATGGACTACACCCTTGCAGGTGAGAGGGGCCACCAATGCCACACCCTCTGGAGGGCAAGGGGTCGCGGAAGGATTGGGTGGTAAGCAGAGCTGCAGCTTTTCATGTATTTGGGGCGCTTTTCTGCCGAGAAGTTGCCCCACAGACGCTTGTGGCCAGAACGTCTTAGTCCGTTAATGAAATTGCATGCCTGTCTCCTTCTGACTCGACTCATCGGGGGCCGGTGTGTTTCTGGGGTGAGGAGAGAAGCTAACACCCCCCACCCGGTCTCTGGGAGCTAGCAGGCACATGGCAGACTTTAATTGTGGCCCTCAAACTCTGGGGAAGTTGGGGGAGTTACTCATTCACAAAATAAGTGACCGGGAGGACCTCTAACAGGCTGAAATATTGCCTGCCCCCTTCCAGCAAGGGGTCCCTCCTCCCTTTTGTCTCCTCCTCCTCCCCCTCCATCCAGAATCACCTGTCTCCTCTCTCTTGGTCAGTCATGGCTGCCTTAGCCTAAAGTTGATAACGATGGCATCCTTTTAAAATTACTTTTAGTGAGAATAACAACGTATTTACCATACGTGGTACAAAAATCCGTCCAGGAAACCCGTCAGGATGGATGCAAGGTCCTAGCTAGAGGAGTGGGAAGTCAGGCTAAGGAGGCTCGGCCCATCGATGGTTAAAAGGGAGTTTTTGATTCAGGAAACTGCTGGGACTTTGGGCAGCTTTTACGTCATTCCAGCTGAGCTTTGCCAGGTGCCTTGTGGTCTTCTGTCCATTTTGCAAAGAGATGCCGATGTTTGTGCTCTTTTGAACCCCACCGTTTAATTTGTGGGATGACCAAAGCAAGCGAGCAAGCGAGCACCAAGCTCCCTTCGAGGCTGTTGGGTCTTTCGACCTTGTCCACATTTCCTCTGTGGCCAAAAGACGAGCCAGGAATGGGAAAGGGGGCTCTGCTCTTCTTCTTCTGCAGTGTACACGTCTCCAGACTACGAGGAGCTGACCTTTCGGCTGCTGCTGGAGCGCCTGGTCTCCATCGGGTACCCTCCCGAAATCCTGGCCTATAAGTACGACCCCGCCTTCCCCACCAGGTAACAAAACTCCCGGCTGTTTCTCCCTCCCGAGCCCAGGTGCTGTGGGGGACTTGGAGGCTGGGGGTGAATTGTGGGAGGGGGCCAACTCAGCGGTCTGGTCTTTCCATTCTTCAGGGGGCTGATCTTTGACGCCCGGCATGGGAACCTGCTGAAGGTGGACTCCCACGGCAACCTCCTGGCCTGCGCGCACGGCTTCCACTTCCTCAAGGGGTAGGGGTTCCCCTCCCCCCTTCATCGCTGCGGGGTTCGGCATTTTGGCCCCCTTCCTCTCCTTGGAGGAGAGCGAATGGATCTTTTTTCGGAGGGGCCCGGTTGGATTTCTGCAGGAGCTCCGGTGACCTGTTGGCCCCCTGCAGATGCTGAAGGACGCTTTGGGGTTCAGAACGGGGGCCTCCCCCTCCCCCCCCCCTCACAAGAGCTCCTTTTCTTCAGTCGGGTTTAGGAGCTAAGCATTCACAACCTGGTTAACCACCACGGCTTCCTTGTCAGAGGTCAAGCACGGAGAGTGTGCGGCAGTGAAAATGAAAGAATGGAAGAGCCTCCTGCCCGCCCCTCCCTCCCTCCCCCTCCCCCTCCCTCCCTTTCCCTCCCTCTCCCTCTCTTTCTCCCCGTGCTGTTTTCCCCATTAACAGAATTCTAGTGTTAGGGAAAGCCGGTGCTGGGATTCAAATTGTTTTACTACCGGTTCTGTGGACGTGGCTTGGTGGGTGGGGCTTGGGTTTGTGGGCATGGCTTGGTGGGCGTGGCAGGGGAAGGATACTGAAAAATCCCATTCCCTCCCCACCCCATTAACCTGCTTTCCAGCTCCGTTCTCCTCTGCAGGGCAACCAAAGGAGACCCAGCCGATCAGCTGGGACTCAATGGGAGGCCGAGAAGAGATGGGGTTGGCGGGGCCAGTCAGAGGCGGGATTGGCTGGTTCTCCAAACTACTCAAAATTTCCGCTACCGGTTCTGCAGGATTGGTCAGAACCGGCTGAATCGCACCTCTGGAGACAACCCCTTGCTTTGAAGGCTTCAAGATATCTTCAAAATTAAAAAAGGAAACAAACATGTCTGTATAACAATAAGCATTAAATTTCCTGGCAGAACAATTGACCAGCGGAACGCCTTAACTCCAGAAATGGTGGGCGCTCCATCCTGGGAGATTTGGAAGAAGAGTTTGGACAGTCACTTCCCTGAGATAGTATAGTTTCTCCTGCCTGAGCAGGGGGTTGGACTAGAAGACCTCCAAGGTCCCTTCAAACTCTGTTCTGTTCAGCTCCGTCTTAGGAATATGTGCCTTCACTACAACTTCGTTCCCATCTCACCGATGACTTGTTCTCTTTTTCCATTTTTAGGAGTGAAATCTGGAATTGCTACCCAAACAAATTCATCCAGCGCGACGACACGAAGCGTTTTCATATTCTGAACACTTTGTTTAATTTGACAGGTATTTGCAAAGGGAGGTCTGGGAAGAGGGAAGGAGAGCCAGGGTGCTGCCTGTCCCAAAGGAGGCCTGGCCATGTGGCGCCCATCCAGATGAGGCTGCCAAGAGGAAATAGATCCCTTTGACGATGTTTGGCAAGCGCAATCTTTGTACTCAACAAATAATTTCCCAAGCACGGCACCTTTGCGGGCAAAATTTGACCTCCTCTGGTTCACGTTGAGCCGCCCGGGCTGAGTGAATTCTCCAGGCAGCCCCAGGCCCTGAAATGGGGGCTCCCCCTTGGCCCAGAGGGGGGGGCCTTCACTCGCCCTCTGCTCCCTCCCCACAGAAACCTACCTCTTGGCCTGCCTCGTGGACTTCTTCACCAGTTTCTCCCGATACGCGAAGTAAGCCGGGTGGCTCAAGGCCTTGGGGGGGGGGGGGGGGGGGGGGCCGCACCGGGGGGGGGGGGGTGCTGCCCGGGGGCCTCAGGGCCTTCTGGGAACCTCGGCGTGTGCCAGGGGGCAGAGGCCGGGAACTCTGTGCCAGTTTGCAAGGTTGCTTTTGCCCCTGCGCTCTCTCTCTCCCTGCTGGGTAGGACTGTGCCTGATCTGCCCTTGTCCTTCTCCCCCTCCCAGCTGCGAGACTGGCTACAGGCAGGGCAACCTCTTCATGTCCTTCCGCAGCATGTTCCAGGATGTCCGAGAGGCCATGGATCACGTTCACCTTTCAGTAAGCAGGAGGGAGAGGAGGAGGAGGAGGAGGAGGAGGTGGCTAGGCAGGGGCAGGGATGCAGCCGTGCGCTTCGGATGGATATCCCCATGCATTATTTATTTCAGGGAGTCACACTTAAGAGCCAGGTGGGTCTAGTGGGGGAGATGTTGGATCAGGAGAGGGGAAACCTGAGTTCAAGTCCTGCCGTGGGCATGATGCCGGCTGGCTGTTGTGGAGCCAGTCGCTCTCACTAGGAAGGAAAAGCAGGCAACGCAAAACCCCTTTAAAGAACGAGGCCGAAAAAGGCACAGACAGTTCCCGGAGTCAAGAGAGACTCAAAGCCACTCAAAGCAAAACCAAAACTCACCACCTCGTCACCTCTTATATTTGCAGCTCCAAGGTGGCTTAAAAATAACTTCAAAATCTATATACATAAAAGCTAAATATACCACTTAGGCATCATCACAAAACCTCCAGATCCGTAAAGCCTACAAACTTGGAATTTGGCACGTAGGTTCCTCTTGGCTTCTAGGGGCTCGCTAAGAAAGGATTTTAGTATTATTATTATTATTATTAACACACTCTGATGCTAAGGAGTTGTACTCCCCCTCCCCACCTGGAAAAAAGAAATCTCTTCCAAATGCAAAACACAAGCAGAGGAGTTTCAGTTTCAGTTTCAGAGCAGCACCAAGCAGCTTTAGTACAGAACAGTTGAGCTAAGCCACGCCCAGGCTCCTTAATGTCTCCTTGCACACATAGCAAATGCTATTTCAGTTTCCAAACAGCCCTCCACTCTCTCTCACACTGACAGGACGCTAGCCAGATGAATACCGATGGATGCTGGTAGGCAGAGGCAGAAATTCCCCCTCCCCTTATTTCCCTCCCCCAAAACTTGCCCGATCACATAGTTTTGTAGCGAAGCATGGGGATCGAGCCAGTCTGTTGATAAAATCATATTCACTATTGGTAACTTAAGACACTTCTTGGATACGAGGGAAGAGCTAGAACTTTGGGTCCACCTTGGTCCGCTGGGCCACTTTTGAGCTGCCATGGGCTGCCTGCCAGAACCGGTGTCAGGAGCTGCCATAGCCAAACCGCCACGCAAGAGACCCACGACTGCCGGGTGGGCCTGGGTCGTGGCCCTGGACTCACGTGGCCTCCTCCTCCTCTGTTCTCCTAGGGCTGCCTCAAGGAGAAGATGCTGCAGAACCTGGAGAAATATGTGGTGAAAGATGTGAGCGCCAGTCCGCCTGGAGGGAAAGCGGTTGCGGGAAATGCCCGTTTTCGGGCCCCTGAAATCCCACCTTGATCGGGGTCCTCTTGAGGCCACCCAGGCGGCTCCTGCAGGGGCAGCCAGGCTGTAATCTGCGTCTCCTCCTTTCCGTCTCCCTCCCTACAGCCCCGTATTCCTCTCCTGCTGAGTCGCATGAAGGACGCCGGGAAGATGTTTCTCGCCACCAA